GATGAGAATTATAGCGAGAATGCACCGAAAACCCGTTCAATTCAATACACCATTGGTACGCCGCGCGTGCATGTCTACATGTGTTGTGCATATTGGGGTTTCTGCTGTGCTGTGGTGTTTTGTATTCAGAAAGCTCTCGAGAAATTGGCTGAGGATGGATTGAAGGCAGAGTTGGAGCTTCTAGATATCACCGATAAAACCAGCAGACAAAATTTCGTGGAGGCAATCAAAAGCAAATACGGCGAAGTTCACTGCCTCGTCAACAACGCAGGTGCAGTAACAGCCACGTTTTTTTGTCTTGAATTCATAAATAAATGATTACAGTATTGTATATACACTGAGGAAACCGCAAAATTATACACATGTAGTGTGAGCTGAGCTCTCGTTTTTTCAGGTTTCGCCTTCAAGCAGGCGGCTACCGAGCCGATCGATGTTCAGGCAAAGATCACTTGCGACATTAACTACTTCGGAACGAGAGATGTAAACCCTAAACCCTAAACCCTAAACCCTAAACATTATATCAGAAACCCCAAATCTAAACACGAAACACTCTCCGGCAGTGCAAAGCTAACGGTTACTAGCTGATCTTCTTTGTTATGCCTTTCTCTAAACATGAACTTCTCGCATATACCAACTCTGCTGTGTTTCTGGGTACCATGGCGCTTGTATACAGCAGAGTTTCAGCAGAGTTTCAGAGAAGCCATGATGGCGCTGAGTGTACAGCATAGTGTATGGAGTGGGGATGTATAGACGGAGTATGCTTTGATAGCTCAACGAGAGGTTTCCTGTGTTTGCTTTCTTCTTCTCTGCAGCTCACAAAGGAGATGTTGAGTTTGTTTCGGCCCGGATCACGAATCGTGAATGTTGCCTCTTTGGCAGGCAGCCGAGCACTGGAGCAGATGAATGCTGAGCGGCGCCACCGCCTCATGAGCAAGTCTGCAACGGAAGAGGTGTGTAGTTTGTAGTTGTATAGCCCCCTGAATATATATATATATATATATATATATATATATATATATATATATATATATATAAGAATAGATTCCTTTGACTACCTTTTCCGGTGTATCGATGGACGCCTTGGCTTCTGCGACGTTTCATGTTTCCTCTTTTTATGTATATTGTATCTGTTCTTTGGTTTTTGTTTTTTTGAATTTCGGGTTTCAGGATATCAACAAAGTGGTCGAGGAGTTCATCGCTGCATGCGAAAAGCAAGAACTCGCCGGTTGGCCCTCTTTGACTTACGGCCTGGCCAAAGTAATTCAATTTGTATCTGTGCATATACTGAATTATTTACTGAAATAAAATAATGTTTTATTTTTATTATTATCACGTTTAATACATCTACAATACATTATTTTTATCATATATTGATCTCTTTTGATTCTCCCTAGGAACAAGCAGCACAAAGTTTCCTTTCTGTATATTCAGATATTAAGGTTCCTTATAAATAGTTTTTGTTGCAGGTTACAGACGGTGGAGCAGTTATTTCCTCTTGCAGTTGATTGCCTTATGAATCATTTTAATTTATTTATTTATTTTTTTCTTTGTTTCTGTCTTTTTTCGGTTGTTGCAGGCAGCTCTAATCGCTCTGACGGCTGCGTGGGCCCGCAAGGCAGACAAATGCCCAGAAGTCAGCAAAGGAGAAGGAATGATCATCACCAGCTGCTGTCCGGGTACGTGCAAGCAAGCAGAAAAGAATAAATTTATTACTTGAATAACCTCTATTTCTATTTGATCCATAAAGATATGCATGCATGCATGCATGCATGAATGCATGCTTTTGTTGTTCAAGTGCCTGTTCTTGCTGTCGACATATTCATATTTTTGCCAGTCTTTCGGCACCTGCGGCCAAGCATACACACGCCACTTTCGGGATCCTGCGTTCAGTGTTTAGTGTTTAGGGTTTAGGGTTTAGGGTTTTTGATTGCTCAGGTTGGTGCAAGACGGATTTGGGCGGCTGGGAGGCTCCCCCACTGACTGCTGCTGATGGGGCCAACCAGGTGGGGTCTTTGGCGTTGGGGGCAACAAAAGAACACCACGGAAAGTTTATAAGCGAAGGAAAAATCATAGATCTTCGTGAAGACTAACAGCTCAGCGAGCAGCAGAAACGGTGAAAACAGCAGCAACAAAAGAGAGACAACAGCACCCACATCAGCAGCTACAGCGCAGCAAAATTTCGGTGGAGCCTTTTAGTGGAATCTCTTATACCGGCCCCGAGGACGAAGGAAAGCCGTCACGGATATTGAGAGAGTGGTACTTGGGGCTGCATGCGCTTCATTGATTCATGAATTCAGAAATAAACTACACCCAATACACAAACCTGAGAGCCATCGTTGCCCCCTTTACGGTGCAGCAGCACTTGCAGTGTACGCACAGCTCTTTTGTTCACGCGTTTATTTTGCTAACCTTAAAATGTTTCCGCGCCTCTGCTTTGTTCCCTTTGGCTGCACGTGGTGGTAAGCCTGTTTTTATTGTGTTTTTTCGTCTGAGACGTTGGGGTGTATGCACACGCCAGCGGTAAGGTGGAGCTCAGGCGGCCTGTATGCCCGCAGCAGCAGCAGCAGCTGCTGTATCTAATACGAACATCAACAACCGACAAGAAGCACACAGTTGTGCGTCTTATTCTTCTTTTGATATTATGTAAAGGACCTTGAGCGTTCTTCTCTTTTTCAGGTGTATAGCCAGCTTGTATATTACTCAGTGTAGCCCCAAAACAATTGTAGCGATAGAACCACAGAGACAACAAAACAAACAAGCAGGCAAAATACTGCTCACACCGTTTGGATTGCTTTGCGCTTTTCTGTTTTCGCATGTTGTTGGGGTTTCCTAGTTTAGGGTTTAGGGTTTAGGGTTTAGGCTGTCTATCAATTGTTCTGATGTAGTTTATTCTACACGTAGTCATACCCTAACAAACTGTTGCCCCTCACTTGACGGTGAAACCTGAAAAAAAGCAATTAACAATATGGGGTCAAACAACAAGTGCATTTTTGAATGCAAAAGAACATAACATAACAGGAGGAACGGAACGCCAACCAGCACAACATAAATGCACATGCATGGGTGCACGGAGTTTCTAGCACCTTCGTTTTGAATTGCATGATTTCGGCTTACGTTTCGTCGTTTCAGGTTCTGCATATGTTTTTCATGAACGTAGTTGATGTAATATGCAAAAAAAAGTGGGAAAAGGTGTATGCGTGTTTCTTGTTCAACTTGTTTCCGTTCAAGAAAGCTGTTGGTTTTCCTTCGTTATCAGGGTAGTATCCGCCAATACATATTGGCATCTGAGATTCCTGCAAAGTTTTCCATCGTTTTTTAATCTAATGCTTTTGTTGCAATGAACCAGTAGAAGTGTACAGCGAGCTCTTTCGATAGGTGAGATGGGTAGTATGGTGCAGGCGTAGCAGCTTGAATAGAACTCAGAAAGGAAATACCACAACACAACATTTTGCAAGAGCAAAGGAAATAATGTTGCGAAGTAATAGAACATCTGAATTCAAGAACTCAGAAGCCCCACCCATGCATAGACTCGGGTGAAACCAAGTGTGGTATTTCTACGGTTTTGCACGGGAATCTCCAGGGTAACTGAAGAAACACTCCTCAGGCCGTTATACTCAATCTAGTAGTTTTCTTAAACCTCAGTTGTAGTTGTATTTTGACGGGCGCAAAGTATCGAAAGCGTATCGTTGGCCGTAACATAACATCTTCAAAGATGTTCTTAACAAGTTCAGTATCAAGGAATACTTCATCGGCTTTCCTAGCAGTTTAACTCTACTTCATTAATATCTATTCAACGAATCATAGTTCTACTTCTTAGCTAGAAACTTATATACTACCCTGCTCATATACACAAGTGCTTAGCTACTTCTTCAGACGATCGCAGCTCGATCGCAACTAGTAACACTGTAGTGTGCGGATCAACAACTTCCTCATTGTGCGCAAAGATTTACGCTGTAAAATTTTTAGTTCAGGCGCCGCATTGTGGGCTCGGTGTGTGGTCTATACAACCACACACAAAGAGTAACCAACAAGCGGAGAGGATGAGCTCACAAGAACTCCCCTTCCATTTCAAAACCTGCAAACTTATAATCTTCTCTACGTCTTTTTATCGAAAGACGGATAAATACCTTTCATTTGTAATAACCTTCTATATTATACGACCCAAAGATCACGCCATCTAAAGGCCTCATAAATTCATCTTTTGTTAAACTGGAAATACCAGGATACACCAGGATATCTTTTTTTCTTTTTTTCCGTTTATTTCTCCGTAGCTCCACTCCGCAAAACGAGGTCTAGCAAAGTCAGGAGAATGTGCTGGCGTTGGCTTTGTGGTTACTCATCCCGAACCACTCTTTCTCTGCCTAGCACATTCATCTCCCTTAACGTATAGACCCTGTCGTTTTTTCTTTTTTTCTGCTTTGTCTTCACGTTCATGCTTTGCTTTCTCTTTGCCTGCCCAGCGCCGAATTCCCTCAGATTTGTTGCACCGGCTGACTTCTTTCCTCGCTTCATAGTGGCAATCATTGATAACCCCTGTTGCATGCCTGACGTTGCAGTTTTCTGGCTCTTTCTATATCTCGTTGCCTTGCTTACAACCTCATTGGTATGGCGGAGCCTGCTGGCGAGATCTGGTCTGTTGGTTTGTGCGGTGGAAAGGCGACTAGTAATGTCTCGATCGATTGCACCTGTATTCGTTGTCGTATTCTATCTTTCTCATCCAATCACGATAAACTTCCTCGTCTGGCGGGCCGTATTCTTCTTCAAAATCACTTGAATCCTCATCTATCCCTGACGCTGCTCTTAGTATATCATGTCTCAGTCTCTCACGAATATCAGTCCAGGACGAGTAGCCATGGCGCAGCGAATTTTTCACCATTGTATATGGAAACCTTGAAACAAACAACCTTGCAAGGAGATCTTGTGGTACTGGCTCTCCCTCTAAAATGATATTATTAAAGCTTTCCACAACTTCTTCGAAATGCCCGCGGTATGAAACCTCCTTAAGACTGCGTACAGTATCCTCAACAGATTTTCTCGCGAATCTCCTTGTTATAAAATCCTGGAATTCTTGCCATGTTTTCGGTAATGTCTCCGGTGCCCATCTCCTAGTCCTGCAGTAGTGCGACAGCGCGCATCCCCGCAAGTATGAGATAACATCTACGACTATCTCCTCCTGAGTCATACGCGTAGAACTGTAGTGTTGCGTCATACGTCTGAGCCAATACCTTGGACGCTCTCCTGTAAAGGCCGGTGGGGGTGTTACCCCCCGACCATTCGTTTGGACGCGAGGAAGTGACCCTGCGGTGAGGTTAGCGGATCCGTTGGTGATGGGCTCCATGGTAACTTGAACCTTATTTTGCGTGAGAGATGATCAATACCAAAGTGTTTAATTAATGTAGAATTTCAGAATGAATACCTCTACTCATCTCGTCCCTCAGCATCGACAGCTCACCACGCCGCGCCAGGTAGCCGCAGCGCGCAGCACCGCGGGCTTGTGCAGGAGCCACCTACGCGGGCCGCTTGGTTCACGATAGAACCAAATACTGTGCAACTAGGAATAATTTTAATAAAAATAACATTTTTTATGATAATATTCATGAGAGAGCCATATATTATCTTATATCGAACCCTATTTACTCAGTAGACCAATGGTGCCGTTGTACTACTCGCCTGTTGCTCGTTGCTCCCAGGGTTCAATCAATGGCTAGTAGGGGTCCACGAAGGTCAGTAAGAGTTGGAATTTTAGCACGAAAAACCCAATTTTATTTTATTCAACGTTTATGCATTGTCTGAAACGTACGAGAAACCCTATGGCTGTCGCTCGTCAAGCATCGACATAGCCGGCGAGTCCTCGGCCTTACTCATGACCCCCGCTACCTGCAACGATGCCAAAAGAGTTTCCTAAAGCATCTGAGATTCCTCTCTTATATCCAGAAGTGCTGGGTTCAGATGCTGAGGAGCTGGGATTGTGACAGAGGAAACGGCCTGAAATGAGTTGCAGCAAGCGCCACACACTTCGCTGCTACGAGTGATGCAAGGCAAGGAAGCCCCACCAGCAAGCACAAAAAAGTTCTTTTTGTTGTATATTTCTTCTCTGTAGATACTTTTTGAGCACTTTTATTTACTTTTAGGTGGCAAACAGAGGCCAAGTATGTGCTGAGTTCACACAGACAATGCTACAAGCAGGGCTGATCCTCGACACGTTAAGAAACATGAACACACCGTGATATTCCTAGGTGATATGTAGGGGTAACTGGACTACCATTCTACATATAAATTCTGATGCAGCAAGCGCACCACAGTTTGTAGCTCGAACTTGAATAAGGTGTTTTCTGCGATGTATTGTCGTTCGTTAGTTGCTCTGAGGATTCCTACTTGCGTGCAGGCAGGCACCGCGGGCCAAGTAAGTGCTTAACGATCTTCTTTAGTGTTAATGCATGCAGAATAAGCCGTATTATTATTATTATTATTAATAATAATAATAACAATATTAATAATAATAATAATATAGCCGTATTATATAGAGCTTTACCACTAAAAAACATTTTTCAGCTGTACGAGAAGCTGAATGCCCAAGATCTCTGCTTCCCACATCCTGGGTATCTGGCGAAACTCAGATCTAGCTAGCAGCATATCTTGTTTTTAAATCGTTAAATAGCTAGCAAAATACAAAGTTGAACTGCCACCTAGCAAACATGCTAGCTAGCTAGCTAGCTAGCTAGCTGGCTAGCTACCTAGCTATCAGGCGAGGAAGAACCAGTGGCAGCCAGAGATGCACGAAACTGGGAAACTGTTTGAGTAGCTTTTCTCTCCACGGTTGTTTTGTTTTATCTATCTCGTTCTGTCGCTCTCATTCTCTTGGCGCTACAATACATGAGATTCAATATGCCTGAACGAGGAAATACATCTCCGTATTCTTATATATTTATTTTATTATTAATAATAATAAATATTGATGTTCGTATTAGATACAGCAGCTGCTGCTGCTGCGGGCATACAGGCCGCCTGAGCTCCACCTTACCGCTGGCGTGTGTATACACCCCAACGTCTCAGACGAAAAAACACAATAACTAACGGCTTACCACCAAGTGCAGCCAAAGAAAACAAAGCAGAGACGAACAATATTTTGAGGAAAACGGAATAAACGTCATCTGCAATAAACAAAAGAGCTGTGCGTACACTGCAAGTGACACTGCACCGCAAAGGGGGCACCGCTGCCTGTTTGATTTTCAGGTTTGTGTATTTCTTTTTTATTTTCCAATTCATGACTCAATGAATTGCATGCAGCCGCAAGTCCCACACACCTATAATATTCGCAACAAGCTGCTGCTGTGCTCTAGCTGCTGTTCCTGCTGTTGTCCACTGCTGCTGCTGCTCGCTGCGCGGTTAGTCTTCACGAAGATCTAAGATATTTCCTTCGTTTACGAATTTTCCGTGGTGTTCTTTCGTTGCCCCCAACGCCAACGACCCCACCAAATTTCCCCCGTCAGCGGCTGTCAGTGGAGGAGCCTCCCAGCCAGCCATATCCGTTTTGCACCACCCTGGGCAAGCAACCGAAAACCGTAAACCCTAAACCCTAAACCCTAAACCCTGAAAGTGAAATGCTGAAAGGCGCTGAAAACTCTTTTGCAGTGGCCATAAGAATAGCACCTCTCGGGTAGTACGAAGGTTGAAACAAACAGAAACCATCACTAGCATGGATCAAAAAGAAATAGAGCTTATTCAATAATTTTATTTTTTTCTGCTTGCTTGCACGTACCCGGACAGCAGCTGGTGATGATCATTCCTTCTCCTTTGCTGACTTCTGGGCATTTGTCTGCCTTGCGGGCCAACAGCGCCGTCAGAGCAATTACAGCTGCCTGAAACAACCGAAAAAAAGACAGAAACAAGGAAAAAAAAAATAAATAAATTAAAATGATTCATATTTATTTATATCTACAAGAAAATTTACAGCTAGGTGCCTCCTGGCGCCTATCTAAAATACTTGAATTTCTCCTCTGCGGCTTGAAACGAAAAAACAGAGAAAACCATGGTGTTATGCTGATGATCTCTGTTGCTTACTAAGAAGAAACCGAGGCAAACCAACAACAAATATATTGTAGATATATATTAAACACAAGAATAATAATAATAATATAAAAAGTAATAATAACAATAATAATTTAGGAAACAGAAATTGAATTACTTTGGAAAGGCCGTAAGTCGATGAGGGCCAACCGGTGAGTTCTTGCTTTTCGCATGCAGCGATGAACTCCTCGACCACTTTGTCGATATCCTGAAGCCCGAAATTCAAAAAAACAAAAACCAAAGAACACATAAAATATACATAAAAAGAAGAAACATGAAACGTCGCAGAAGCCAAGGCGTCCATCGATACACCGGAAAAGGTAGTCAAAGAAATCTATTCTTATACATATATATATACATATATATATTCAGGGGGCTATACAACTACAAACTACACACCTCCTGCGTTGCAGACTTGCTCATGAGGCGGTGGCGCCGCTCAGCATTCATCTGCTCCAGCGCTCGGCTGCCTGCCCTAGAGGCAACATTCACGATCCGTGATCCGGGCCGAAACAAACTCAACATGTCCTTTGTGAGCTGCAGAGAAGAAGAAAGAAAACACAGAAAAAGCCACGTTGAACTTGTAAAGCCTACTCAGTGTGCAGGCGGACTGCATGCAGTGCGGTGTACTGATATATATATATATATATATATATATA